AGTCCATTTGTGAGCAGTTTCAACTAAAATGCTGTTTAGGAACGACCAAATTCAAAGAACTTGTAGAGACATAAATATTTTGCTGAAAATAGACATTACAACTAAAATATGAACAAATTAAATGTTTCAGCTGGCTAAATAGATTGTTGCCGACCCCACCGAGAATCGAACCAGCATCAGCTGAGGGGAAAGCAAAATTGAACTCTGACGATCTTGCCACTAGACTACCAGAACCCAACAAGTAATGTTACATGCTGTTGTACAGGACTTTTGTTAGAGCGGCTGTGGGCAGATATTCGCTAAAAGAAACCTTTTCATTTCGGGATATATTCAGACTTTGTCATGTAGCAAGTTATATTTATCTTGTTTAATTGGAGCATAGAACATAGTATTAACGACTGTAAACTAGTAACAGCCGTAATTCATGTGGGTCAGGTTAGTTTGCGATAAAGTTGAAAAACAAAAACGGAAGTCAGTGGGCTAGGCTGAGTTTACGTGAATGGGCGGGGCTGACTCTGGTGCAGCTCCACCTTATGGTGCAGCTCCACCTTTGTGGTTCTGCAGCGAGCACCCTCTCAAAAATTGTTCCAAAATGAAAGTTGAACCCACATCTTTTTTATCTGTGAATTCAATGCCGTTCAGTGAGTCTCAAATAAAAATTTGGACTGTGTTCACATCCAGAATCGAACCAAGATCTTCTGCACTAGAGTCCGACGTTTTACTAGGTGAGCTAAAGCACCAGTGACATTTTTTGTATCTGTAACATTTATATCCTTGATGACAGCTGAAACAACGTCAAACCAAAGAACGGTTCGGAGTGAAAATGGCTATTTTGTTGCTAATTTGCAGGAAATATCTAGAAGAAAGTTCTACAGAAAGTAGCTAAGGGTCCTCAGAAATGTAGCTAGCTTTGTCACTAGGCGTTAGGAACAGCGACAAAGTGGTACTACCTCTCTCTCTGCTGCTAAAGCTACGGATAGCAAATGCTACGGGCTATGCCTGAGCGTGAACGCGCATGAAGCAGCCTGCTCGACCCGAGCAGCTCTCTTTTTCTGTGATTTTACAGAAAAACAGGCAATCACAGTAAAAATGCCAGGGCTCATTCTACAGGACCAGGGCATTGCAGGAGAATGTATGAAGAAGACATTTATTATTTCTATACATGTTTTGGCTGTCAAACTTCCATAATGCCCCTTTAAGATTCCTCTTGTTTTGCTTTGACTACAGCAACGATAAAGATTTCAGACAGACGTGGAAAAATCTAATTGAAAAGATTTAAATAATACATTGAGTTAAAATGGAGGAAAACTAAAGGTTTTTGTACGTTTTTAGACAGGATTTGCTAGTGTAATAATAGTATAGTAATATTTATAGCTTGCTTAATTTGTTATTTTTGCATTGAGTAGTTGAATGAGCTTTTTGCTTTTAAACCTTGCATCTGCTTCTTATCTCTGTCCGACTCCCTAATTGAATTAAAAACTTAATTTTCATCCGCTTCTTTAGTAAATTCCTCTGCATGTCTGATATTAACAAGTCTGTCATATCTAAACAGAGCCGATTATTATCTAAAAACGTCCGTCTGCTTATCCAGTGATCATGTTCATTTCCCCGTGCTGCAACTTTTTAATAAAAGCACTGACAGATGAGCAGATTTGGACATTTTTCCTCATAAACCAGGGTTTGTGTTTTTCCTGTGAACACGATGGAGATTATGTGTCGCGGCCTTGAGAAGAAACCTATGCTGCTACTTGTATAAACGGTAAAATAATCTCACCGCGCTGCTCTGGTTTCACCGCCTCTCAGTTCTGTCGGCAAAACACGATCTGACTGGATTTGGGAATGGAGTAAGGGGGAGAGTTAATCTGATACTTTCCTAAAAAAGCCCCGCCCCTCCCTGGCCCCCACTTCCCAAGGCAGACCAGGCAGAGACACCACATCTGGTAATACTGTAAGCACATTGTCCTTCCAGGCCTGTGGGTGAAGCTCAGGTTTCCTCAATATTTTCCCCTGGTGGATTCGGTTACCCAAAGGGCACCGCGAGGCTGACGGAGCAGCCGGCGTCACCGGAGCTTTCTGACGAACCAAGGATGTCTGGGATGAGCCGAAGGAGCTCTCATTCATCAGAGGAGTCCAGGCGTGACCTCGGCTCTGCTGTGATTGTGAATGAAGCTCGAAGATCCACTTTGCTCATTTTTACTCGTCCAGTTGATCCAGATGTAAATAATCACTAAGAGTGTGCCAGCTCTCATTAGGCGGGGATGTGAGCTGAAGTGGAGAGAGCTGCAACCTTTAACAGGAAAATGAACTCGGGCTTAAGACGGCGATTTGTAGCTTCATTTTTCAGTGTTTGTAAATATTTTGATACATTTCTACGTCTGTGTTGATTTACTGGAAAATAAATCCTGATTACTGATTTAGTTATTAACCAACTTTTGGCACCAATTCACCAGAAACTGATCAGCCTAACCCAGAAAGTAAGTCGAGTATAGTTTTTAAAGAGTTGATAATAGTAGAAAATAAAGTTTGTAGATCCCGGAGCGTCCGACTGGACAGATACTTGATCCGGATCAACAAAGATGAGTCTGGATGTGCTCCACGAACTCACCAGGACCCCACCCTCGTGGATCCGTAACGAGCAGAGGTTCACCTGGCTTCCAGCACCTCAGATTAATTCTCCAAAGCAGCTGTTCAGAAGCTCCAATCAGACGATGTAATTACAAATGTTACGGATGACATGATAAGTGTATCAGTGTTGATCGACCTCATTTATATCAGCATTTTACTTTCATCTGTTCTGCTAGGTTGATTTGTAATGAGGAGACCTCAGCAGCTCGGTGCCTTTAAACATGTTGGCTGTTGTTCAGATCCAACATGTGACCTTTAAAATGTGATCTTTCAAAGCCACACGTGTCATGCACTGCTCATCACGATAGTGATGGTGTTTTTACTGGTCCTCCTGAAAATAACAAGCTCACATCCCCTAACCTCAGAGTTTCCCTTTACTTGATGCAAACGTTGAACCTGACATCGATAAAGAATAAAATGATGGCCTCAAACCAATCCAATATCAGCTTAACGCAAACCATCTCCATTTAAATCAACTAAGCCAAACCAACCACCCAGATCGAAGCCAACTAGCTGAATCAGACATAATCAACCCAGATCAGTCACATCAAAGACAATCAACCTAACTCAAACTAAGTCAATCTTGACCAAATAAAACTAAACTAAACCAAAACAACCAAACAAAACGGAACAACTTAACTTGAGTTAATTCACTCTTGATAAAACAACTTAAACTAAACTACTTTACAAATCAACTAAACCCGATATAACTCGCTCAACCCAACCAAAATGATGCCAAACAAACCAAATGAACCCATTTAACTAAATGCAGGTCAACTCAACATCAAACAAACCAAAGAAGCTGGCCTCAGATCTGACCAAACAAAACAACCAATCACAACTGACCAAATCAACTCAAATGCAGGGTTTCCCCCAGCGCTTTATTAGCTTGGCCACCCGCCATGCTAAGCGTCATGCCCCGCCCCCCTCCCCGACCCTACTGTGTCCGCTGACACGAATGGCGCAACGAAACTAGAGCCCTCCATCAGCTGATACTGGTGAGAAACAGCAGCGGAACGTGTGCAAACCCCCGCTCTCACGGAGGAGTGCGCGACCCCCCCCTTCCCCCCCACCCCCGATGGCCGAATCCGCCCGGCTTAACCCATTTTCTGGGGCAAACCCTGCAAATGGGTTCATTCCTGATCGAAATGCCCAAGCTAAACCACTCCAACCAGAAACCAAGTACCAAACCAAGTCCAAATCACAGTATGGCTCAAATCGACCAGCTGAACCCAATTTAACCAAACTAAAGTTAATAGAACAACTCAAACTAAACTCAACCCAAATGAAACCAACTGAAATGATACTAAAACAAACCAACTAACCCAAGCCTGACTTTTGCCTAACCAAACAGCTCAAAAACCACCAATTAAACCAAACCAAATCTTACTAACCTGCTCAACCGAGATCAAATACATCAGTTCCAACTAACTCTACCCAACAAACCCAAACTCGCAACAGCAGAATATAGAGATCTAACTTATCTATCACAGAATCCAGGATGAATGTCGTCATCATCTTCCTCCGCTTATCCGGGTCCGGGTCGCGGGGGCAGCATCCCAACTAGGGAGCTCCAGGCCGTCCTCTCCCCGGCCTTGTCCACCAGCTCCTCCGGCAGGACCCCAAGGCGTTCCCGGACCAGATTGGAGATGTAACCTCTCCAACGTGTCCTGGGTCGACCCGGGGGGCTCCTGCCGGCAGGACATGCCCGAAACACCTCCCTGGGGAGGCGTCCAGGAGGCATCCTGACCAGATGCCCAAACCACCTCAACTGACTCCTTTCGATCTGGAGGAGCAGCGGTTCTACTCCGAGTCCCTCCCGAATGTCCGAGCTCCTCACCCTATCTCTAAGGCTGAGCCCGGCCACCCTACGGAGGAAACTCATTTTGGCCGCTTGTATCTGTGATCTCGTTCTTTCGGTCATTACCCAAAGCTCATGACCATAGGTGAGGATTGGGACGTAGATGGACCGGTAAATCGAGAGCCTGGCTTTCTGGCTCAGCTCCCTCTTCACCACGACAGATCGGCCCAGCGTCCGCATCACTGCAGACGCCGAGCCAATCCGCCTGTCGATCTCCCGATCCCTCCTACCCTCACTCGTGAACAAGACCCCGAGACACTTAAACTCCTCCACGTGAGGTAGGACCTCTCCCCCGACCCGGAGTTGGCAAGGATGAATGTTTGGATGGAAACTCTTAACGTGTTCTTACAAGAGTGTTACTATTGATGAATGTGATCCTGGAGCATCCTTTGTGTGTTTATGCTAGTTTATTCTGTACATCCAGATCAATCAGGTTATATAAATGAGCTAAAACTAGTTAATCCTGCTTAAAGGAATATTTGAAACAAACTGTTTTCATTCTTCTATTTGTCAGGTGGTTGAAATGATCTCTGGTGCCATCGGGGATTTAGTTCAAGGAATCTATTATGAGAATTCCTACAATGCAGAGGTACATTTTTTATTCTTCTTTTGTGATTCAACTTTGATGAAATTCTCCCAAGAGCCTCAAACTTGTGTGAACCCAGAGCCTCTGAGAAGCTTTTAGGAACCTGACGCTAAAGCTGTTTAGATGTTTTTGAATCTTGGTGCTAAAGTTAGACTCTGGAGTGAGGAAGGACGACTAAAAAAGCAGGTTTTTAGCATGTTTAAGGTGAATGCTTTAATAAGTTCAGATTTGATTCAGAGTCTTTAGAAAATAAAAGTGTGGTTGAATCAGGATCGTATAGTCGGGTCTGGCTGTGAGTAGCGCAGAAGGAGAATGTTTCTCTGTGATTAAAGTTGACAGTAGGAGCTACAAGCTGACTATAAATGAGAAGAAAACCAGAAGACCTCCTGATAAATAATGAATTAAGACACCCGGTGCTGTCAGGTACCAGTGAGTAAGAGTTTCCTTTAATTGCTCTGTTTGGGGTTCTGCTGTGTTCGTCGCCGTTTGCTCTGCAGGACGGTCTCAGCGATGGCACTGACGTGGCATCATGGGAGGAGCAGACATTCTTATCCCACGGTTCGCTGCTGGCCAGTAGCTGTCAGGCCGCCATGCAGCTCGCCAAACACAACAAGGAGGCCCAAAGGCAGGCCTACCTGTACGGAAAACACCTGTCGCTGGGCCACAAGGTGAGTCTGAGACCCCGACACACACCTGGAAGCTTCTCCTTAGACTCATCGGTTACATTTTCCAGAGGAAGTTGAACAGAACAGAAGATTCAAATCAAGTTTTCTGTCTTTAATCTTTTTTACAGGAACTTTGTGCCTCCTGATTGATCTACTTTCTTTTCATTACCGTGATCATGTTAAATCAAAGCAAAGGAATAAATCTGCACCAAACGGGTCACTGATCCACGCGGAGCTGCAGAGTCCGACTGCACGAGTAATTGGGCCATTTTGGGTTTTCATTAAATGTTTCAGGGGTGAAAAAAGTGTTAAAAGGGGACCGAGAAGTGTGATAAAACAAACTTTAAACCCAAAAGGTTGTTTTGTACTGAACTAAGATGTCATTAGGGTCCAACCTAAACGGACCACATAGACACTTTTTAAGACTCGTGGTTTTCTCTCATTGGTAATGATCCCGTTCTCCGGGCTGCAGCAGTCCAGCCTCCCCTGCCGAGGCTCCCTGCAGCTGCTGAGGCCTGCAGACAGGCAGCTGCAGGGAATCTCAGCGTGCAGGAAGCAGACGCGAGCCCTTTGAAGGAGAACCGGCCTCATCAGTCCAGTTGTCTCACACCAGACTGTCCACCTTACTGCTCATTAGCCGGACCTCTGCCAGTGCAGACTTTTAACTGCTGGTTTAATTTGTTACCTGAAAGCTACTGAGACATTTGTGTGGTGTGCTCTTCTCTGTAGCTGAACTCTGACCTGCAGCCGTTTGTGAAGAGCGGCTTGGGAGAGCTGACACCGTTCAGTCTGAGCGCGGCCCCGGTGGTTTTCCACCGTCAGATCGTCGGCACGGAGAGGTGGCATCAGCAGATCCAGCACGTACGACTCCTCTGGAGATTACTGCTCATTTTTATTGCTTCGTGTGCAGCTGAGAGCCGATACGGCTCGTTTAACTCTGGGGTGAAAAAAGAGATCAGATGTAAACAAATACCGTTTCTGCAGGATCTTTAAAGATCCTAAATGTGTTCCGAATTTTCTATGCTTTGTCTTTAAAGAGCAAGTCACCCCCAAATCAACTTTTTTTCTCTGATAAACTGTATAAATGTGTGTCTAATCGTGCTGCAGACACGTGTCGTCAATAGTTTAACACTTTAGTGCATTTTAGTTAAAATTTGAATTTTCTGCCTAAAACGGTCAGCGTTGTGCCGTTGTCAGGTAAAAACTCTTCACTGCAGTTGAATTTAAATCTGCCATCGCTATTGGCTAAGAGGTACCCTAGAACGTACCATATGATGTCACAATGTCATTGTGAGCCTGTGTGTGTGTGTGTATTTGTTAGCGGCTCCGCTCTCTCGGTCTGCTAGGCAACAGCGTTTGTTGATTTTCAAACAGGAAGTGGGAGTGGAGTAATACTCTGGTAGGGGGTGACTTGCTCTTTAACATTTAAAGTGCCTGAAACCCCCCCAAGGTGCTTCCCAAAAACTAGTTGTTCACTCACACATTCACACGCTGGTGGTGGTGAGCTACATCATAGCCACAGCTGTCCTGGGACACACTGACAGTTTAGTATTTCTAGTCGAGGATTCTGGGTGTTACTGAGTCCCGTGATGCAGCAGGGCTTTCAGAGTCCCTGTCTAATCTTTGATTTGGTGTTTTTAATAATTCATGAAGGTGAGAAACTTACAGAAATGAATTCCAACAAAGCTCAGTAGGGTCTAAATAAACACTGAGTCCTCACCACAGAGTTGTAGGTCTTTAGTTGGTTGCAGTTTGCAGCTTCTGCCACTAGATGTCACTAAAACAAACAGAAATTTTGTTTATTCTAAAATGAAACAGTCATTTAACAATTTTTTCTGTTTTTTTTTAAGGCAAAAACGTTGAGAAACCAGCTGGATCACACCAAGGTGAGTTAAGAGTTTATCTGTTGTTTTTTGCACCTCTTTGTTCTTGGGCTCAGAGTCTGTCAGAGATAAACGGGACGTCTTCGGACTGTAACTTATGTCCAAGCTGACACATTTCCAAAGTCAACGCGTGACAGGACGACTCGGGGTCCAAAGAGACACTAAAGCCACGGAGGAGGGGCTCTGGTGGTGTTGGGACGCGGGGGGTTATCTGGTCCCGTCTGAAACCAGAGCAGGAAGGATTAGTTACCGAGGACTATTTGTGGAGGAGACACCGGGGCTCTGAGACAGAGGCACTGGGAGAGAATCTCCTTCAGACAAAAAGGGGAGAGAAGTTTTTAAGGAGAACGAGAGGTGACCCGAGCCCAGGAGGTTCTTTTAGGGAGGAACAAAACAGAAAAGATGGAGGCACAGGATGACTTCTCTACAAATCCTTGTTTTAAAAAAGAAAAAACTTAAATTATGACTGACAGGTTACCTGACCACAGCCTCCTCACATTTTATACCGTTGGGACACAGTGGATGGAAAAAGTTATAATCAATACTGTCCAACCGGTCCCTCTGTCCTTAAAGCCTCCAGATGGAGTATCAGGATTAGTACCTTCATCAGAAACCTGCCACAGCCAGTCCTACACAAAGCTACTGCCCCCTGGTGGAGGATCTACAGGTGGCAGGGCCAGATTTCTTTATTCATTACTGTGATACTGTGAGAATTACACAATAAATAAAAGCTGAATCGTATGTAGTTGAATATAAAATACTGGATTTTAGAAATTGTACTAAAATGAGTGATTAAGAGAAATTCAAATTCCTGCAAGTGTGAGCCACAAGCTGCAAAAAATGAAACGAGCAAATGGAAAAAAGGTGGAACAATGTAGAAAACTTGAATCGCTTATGACGCCTATTAAAAGAAATAAATAATCTCGGATTGTAAAGTTTAGCATCATTTCTCACTTAAATTTTAACCACGGTCTTCCTCATTTGTACCGGCCAAACCTACTCAGCGTACTTTTGTACATTCTGTCCTCATTTATTTATGATTGTTGTACAGAGAATCCAGAGATCCTAGAAAGGACAAAAGAACGTGAACGAGGCGCGTTTGTAGGACGATTCATCGCGAGAGTCGTCCCTCTTCAGCACATATCTGAGCCATGTCTCGAGTAGGCTAAGCACAGGTGCGTGAAAGTCTAAAACGGTTAAAGCTGCAGTGGCAAATTAGCTTTAAACATTTTTTCATGCCTCTTAACGTTCTAGTGTTACACCCCTGAAACAGGGGAGAAAGAATCACGAGTGATTTGTGAGCTGCTTCTCTCATGCAGTCGTTTGATGCGACGAGGAGCGAGCGCGCCGTTTTCCCTCTGGTGGAAGGCTAAGTCACTACTAATCGATCGCAGATAAGGCTTGTTAGTCGATGGCCGATACACAATTCACTCTTTTTAGCTAAAATGACTCTAAAATGAAATATAACATGAAATATTAGCTTTTAAACAGTATTGTTAATATATTTATGTGGCAAGGTGGAGAAACGAGGGCCCGGGCGGGATTCGATCCCCAGACTCCCAGGTGAGAGTCATATGCTCTAACCAGTCAGCCAAAGGGACATCCCCTTGGCCAAGTAGCCAGGGCGCATGATCAGTCGGGACATTGTGACAGGACACTCACACTGTCACATTTACATTGGTCTGTTTTTAATCTATATGAACTGTTATGAATCTACGTTCACTGTGAAGTATTGGTACTGTAAACTGCATTTCTTACCACACTATTGTTCAAATGACATCAGTCTTATAACAAATAACGAACAGTCACTGGATCCTCCTTGGAGTTGCATAGAGGGGTATAAATGCAGTCTTTAAGCTTAGGCATCAAGCAGTCTTTTAGCCTATCACACTAGCACAAAAAAAAACAAACTAAAAATGGAATTAGAAACTAGACACAGTAAGAACATACCAAGGATGTTCTAGCAGAGTTTAAATATAAATATATTGTGGGGATAAAATTTGCCTAAAAACTTCCACCAAAAACACCTTTTGAACCGCTGCTCTTCCCTGGGTTCTCCACACACACAACACCACTGGAGTCCCAAAACGAAAACCACCATTAGAAGTCGTGGACAACAACAAACATTTGGATCTAGAAAACAGCAACTGGTGTTCTCGTTTCCTCTGGCATCGTGGGGTTCTGGTTCTGGCAGACGCTTCTCGGGAAAGATACCCGCGTGGAACGTCATTTGGAATTCTAGGATGTCCAAGGAAGATCCCGCCTTTCTCATCTCTGATTGGCTAGAAAGGCTTTACTGCAATTGGCTATTTCATTTGGCAGCAAACTGGCTGTCCTCTAATGGGCCATTCCCATCTGTACCGGGTCGGCCCAGGCCGGGTAGCGTAGGTTGTTTACATATCTGGGCGGCCTGGTATTTTTCCGGGCCAACCAAGGCTCATTCTCAGCCCTCTTCTCGAGGGGGTCTGCTTCAGGCCGACCAGGGCCAACACACCCACTGCTGACAGCAAATTCACACCCTCCATTAGAGCAAGCCTCTGATTGGTGGGTAGAATCAGCCCACATGGGCTTGTGGCAAGGTGGAGAAACGAGGGCCCGGGCGGGATTCGATCCCCAGACTCCCGGGTGAGAGTCATACGCTCTAACCAGTCAGCCAAAGGGACGTCCCCTTGGCCAAGTAGCCAGGGCGCATGATCAATCGGGACATTGTGACAGGTAGGGCTGTAGCGAAGCCTCGACGAAGTCGACGGCTCGATTCTAAAAATTTGTCGACGTCAGATCCGGAAGTCGACGCACCGCGCCCACTTGTTGCATCCCCAGGAGTTTGTAAATAGAAGAGAAATCTGCCTGTTTTTCCTCTAGTTCGCCCTCTTCTCCGCCTTCACTAACATCTCCGCCAAATACCGAAGACCCGGAACAATGTCCGTCCACTACTAGATTCCTTTCCTGTTTTGCCCCTTCGTCTCCCGGCAACGGACAACAACTTCCGGGGTCAGATGCGCAGCTCCGTCTCTACCGCAGATGTAGAACATCACCGGGAGCGCTTCTCCCTTCATAAAGGAGCTTCTTTCAGACATGAGGAGAGCTGTTTTGGTGGTAGCAGTCTCTCCTCTGTGCTGGTCTGTTTGCTGCTGGGTGTTTTTGGTTTAGTTAAACTTGGTAACTTGAACTTAACATTGGTAAAGCTACTGTTAGCATCTTCGCTAACAGCTTCTTGCGTTGGGATAAGCTGTTACGTTTTGGTTTAGAGTTCATCTTTTTTGTGGTGTAGATCTCCCTTTTATTACATTTAGAGTGTTGTGGGTTTTCGGTTTAGTGTAAAATATCACCTGAGTTTGGTTTAACCCGTAAGACCACTCGCCTCACGCACATAAGTGACCAAAACAAAGCAGCATGGAGACACTCCATCGTCTACCACCTCTCAGGCAGCAGCCTGCACTCCCAAGTTCTACACGTCACCAGAACATAACCAACCAACACAATAAAAGCAGTGTTATACAAAATGGAAGGCCTGTAGTGTTTATTCTCTTACAGTAAGAATTTATCAATTTTTTGAGGAATTTATTTGAGATTTTCTGGTTTTTGTTAATTGTGCAATAGAAAAATAATCGTTAGATTAATTTTCTAAATAGTCATTAGAATAGTCGACTATTCGATAAAATAATCGTCAGAATAATCGTTTTAAAAATAATCGTTTACCCCCAGCCCTAGTGACAGGACACTCACACTGTCACAGGCTTAGGGCAAGGATGTGTGGAATCAACCGGGCCAGGCTGGGGCCGACTGAGGCTACCCGGCCAGGGCCGACCCGGTACAGATGGGAATGGCCCATAGTGCAGACTGTCCTCCTGCCGCCAGCAGAAAGCTCTATCATACACATCTTTCTGTACTTACCATTCAGGATGGCAGTATGTTTATGTTTATGTATTTAGCAGACGCTTTTGTCCAAAGCGACTTACAAGTGATAATCGGCATGTTGCCCTTGAGGCTAACAACAACAATAACAACAACTTGACATCAATTTTGGAGAGGAGGGAACAAGGAGTTGACAGTAGAGAGGGGGGACGGGTGCAGGGAGGGTGCTAGTTTAGAAGATGCTCTCTGAAGAGCAGGGTCTTCAGGAGTTTCTTGAAAATTGGAACGGAAGCCGCTGTTCTGGTAGTGCTTGGTAGGTCATTCCACATTTGTGGAACGATGCATGAGAAGAGTCTGGATTGTCCTGAGCGTGGTGTAGGCACTGCTAGCCGACGATCCTGTGATGACCGGAGCGGCTGGGCCGAGACGTAAGCCTTTGCAAGAGGATTCAGGTAGATGGGAGCCGTACCGTCTCGGACTTTGTATGCTAGTGTTAGCAATTTGAATTTGATGCGTGCTGCTAGCGGTAGCCAGTGGAGCTCAATGAACAGAGGCGTGACGTGTGCTCTTTTTGGCTGATTGGAGACCAGACGCGCCGCTGCGTTCTGGACCATTTGAAGAGGTCTCACAGTACAGGCTGGGAGACCAGTTAGAAGGGCATTGCAGTAATCGAGGCGGGAGATGACAGTAGATTGCACCAGGAGCTGGGTGGCATGCTGTGTTAGGTATGGTCTGATCTTTCGTATGTTATACAGCACAAAGCGGCATGAACGAGCAACAGAGGTCTATAGTATAGCCTAATAATTAAGGAATATGATAGCCCCAATAGAGCTAAATAAATATAATAAGTCAGTCTAACAGAGTGATTAAACTCAACAAGATTTATTACAAGTTCACATTTGACATTTTCCAGGTTCTTTTATGAAAGAAACTGAAATAAGTTAGTTGCAAAATAAGAAGTTTATTATTGTGATGAGTTTACATTTTCTTAAAAAAAGGTCCTCAAGATCTGGCTGTAAACTCAAAAACACTGCAGTGAGGGAAAACTGTTTCCTCTTACATGAAATAGCCAATCGTAGGAGAGCCCTTCTAGCCAATCAGAGGTGAGAAAGGCGGGACCGTTATCGGATATCCTAGAATTCCAAAAATGACGCCACGGGGAGGGGTGAGGGTTCTGTCACCGTGTTTGCATTCAAAACCTAGCTTGTTTGCAGATTTGCTATAATAGTTTTAATGACAAATGTTTTTGATAAAAATAACCAAAATGTTTGCTGGTGTTAGTCAGTGATCAGTCAGTCTTGTCTATGAACTCGTCATGGTGACTGCTGACTCATACTAGGAATTTTCCTTGTAGAGGTCTTAATTTTCACGTTAATTGTTTTTTTTTTATCTGTATTCTGTTTATTAATGGAATTTACATATTTTAGTTCAATTGGAATTGGACAAATTCAGTGTTGGCTGGTAAGAGCTGAAGAGTCATAATCGGTATTGGCCAACAAAACCTAAATCGGTGCATCAGACTGCAGCACAGATGAAAAGAAGAGCTACAACTCAACTTGTGTTAAAAGTTAGTGAATCTGTTTTAAAATTCAATAAAAAGAAACTTTCTGTGCGTCACCGGAAATCTGGAGTGATTGGCTGAAAGGGGAGAACGGGTACGGGTGAACGCCGAACAAAAGAAGCCTTGAGAAAAGTTCTGGCAGGACTTTTTAAAATCTATCATCACATAAAGTCTCATTTATTCAGCTTTATTTGGCTTTCTAATTTCTGGTCCTGGTTTTATTTTGTTATATTAAAAATGCCCCCCTCAGTCTTTTTTCTCAGGTGCATCACCTGAATGTTGACGAGCCGAGGAAACGCTGGAGGTTTCTGGAACGTTTGGTGCAAACGGGAAAACATCAGGGAGCAGCAGAATGAACATGGTCAGCAGGCAGGATCGTGTGAAATTCATGAGGAAAGCTAATCTTTTGTAAATAAATAAGCAGGCAGAATGTTTCCGAGTTAGACACTTGCTGTAGGGTTTTTTATTAAATTCTTTTCCCATCTTGAAAGAAGGCCTACGGGGCTTTTCACCTCCAGAATTCATGAGGCAAAACGCCCTCAGCTAAAAAGCACGTCCCAGCGGGAAGGAGGCTGCAAAATTCTCCCAAACTGTAAATTTAAAGCTCCTGATTCCGTCTTCGACGCGTTTAAGGAACACGGTGCTGCTTAAATAAAGTCAACGCGTTCACTAATTCAGTCTTTTACTAAATATTTCGTCATGTCTGTTACAAAAACACGTCACTGATTGTGTAGCTGAGTGATTTTCTCTTAAAACCTTTCGTATAAATCAGAAATCTGCCCTTATATCTAGATGTGGATCCGTGCCTTCAGCGCTCCCAGGAGCATTTTTCTTTCCCTGTAATTAAAATCCGTTTGTTCCCTTTTCTCTCCGACTTTAAGCTCCAACTTTCCTCGGCTCTGGGTTTGTTACGCTGACAGCTGGACGGCAGCGAGGCTGACACAAACATGACAAACTAATGTGTGTTTTCATCCCTCCGCAGCTTTTGGCAGCAGTTAAGTCGGGGAAAGGCGTGAGCTCGGCGGTGGACTTGTGCTGTTACCATAGCAACAAGGCTCTGGAGGCCATCCAGGCTTTCCCCTCCTCGGAAGCTCGATCCGCCTTGGAGAACATCGCCTCTGCCGTCACCAAATTTTGACCTGCACACACACACACTGCACTGTGGTGTGTGCGTGCAAAAACTGCAGGAAGAAGAAATTCCTGTGATGAACTTGTTCTGATCCGGATGCTGGCTCCTGGAGCCTGGAGGAACCGTGGTGACAGTTGTCATTAGAAATGCTAAATCTGTGATTCTTGTAATAAGAACACACTTCTGGAGCACAGTGCCAAATGTGTGTGTGTGTGAGTGAGTGAGTGAGTGAGTGAGTGAGTGAGTGAGTGAGTGAGTGAGTGAGTGAGTGAGTGAGTGAGTGAGTGAGTGAATGAGTGAGTGTCGGACTCCTGCGTGGAGGAAGCACCACGCAGGCTGCGTTTTAAAACCCAGCTGTTTATTGTCACCTTGCTTATCAGCACCGCCACATAGCAGCCGGAACATAATTTAAGATGTTTTGAAGAGTTGTTATTGTCATCTGGAAAATGTGCCATGAACAGCAAATGATGCACCGAGCAGGACTTGCTCTTAAAAGAGATATTTTATCTTTAAGGAACCTTTCATCCTGCTTCTTTCTGCGGCGACGATGCCAAACGGAAAGGTTTAACCAACGCGGCGGTGACAATGTCCCAAAGTCCCGTTCGAACTGATTCTTGCTGTTACTGATAAGCTCAGACGGGAGGTTTTTTATGCAGTTTGTTGAGATTGTGTCTGCAGCTTCAGGAGGAATGTTGTCCCCTCACCCGGGTGTGTGTGTGTGCGTGCGTGTGTGATCCAAGTCAACCCAGGGGCGGGGAAAGGTCACCCAGCTTCTCCCCTTGGCCCAGCCTGTGAGCGTATTGAAGCTCCGCCAAGCAGTAATTATTAATGAAGAGACCTGAGCAAATGGACAGGAAACGCAGAGGTATTGATTGGGCTGGCTGCCCTGCTTTAAGCTGCGCAGGCTGGCGCCAGCCTGGTGGCCTGTGGTTTCCCAGGCTGCTGTCTGCGGAGAGCGGGGGGCACAGCCAAGGTGTGAAACCACGGGGCCGCCGCTGGCAGCTGTCCGTCACGTCCTGATCGCGCCTGAAGGACGGAGACGGGGTAGGAAATCCCCAAATAGGTCATCACGTCATCTGAAGACCGAGTTTGATGGAATGTTGTACAGAAATATTAAAGATTTAAACTGAATTTGTGGCATTTTCTTTGATTTCAACACGTTTTACCACTTTAGAAATCTGGTCCGCTGGTTTGGTGGAGCTGATTTGTGCCTGAAGTTGTGGTTCGTGGGCTGATTGTGGCCCTCGACTACTATTCAAGAACAGGAAACAAAAGTTTTACGATAAGATTTTTACCGAGGGGCTAAAAAAATGAAGCTAATGTTATAAAACAAGAAATTTCACAATAATAAATGCTTGTCGAACAAAGTTGATAATTTTCCCCGAATAACTGAATTTCCAGTTTACCGTAAATCTTCTGAATCAGGTAGAAATGATCAGTTTTATGAGATTTTCTTTAGATGGTTGCAGAGCTAGCTTCGTTCATGTTCACTGACAGTTTTCAGACACAATTATCCACTAATGGATTCTTGCGCTGCTCTGGGTGGCTGCATGTTGGAGTAGCTCTGTTGACTACACGTACGCTTTTGCCTTTTTTGGACATTTTTTCTTCTAGTGCCTTAGGAAAAATTGCATTTTTTTGGACCTTTTACTTTTCTGTTTCTGGTGCTGTGAAGCTTAGAGGACTTTTACTGCTATTTTTTCACTCTTTGAGCTTTTGTTTATGCGTAACCATGGCAACAAGCTGGTTTATAATCAAGAGCAGCTGATTAACATTGGAAAGGCTGAAATAATACCTCAACTGAAGCCACAAATCCCAAATGAGCTAAAACGCAAGAAGGTGTGGCTGCAGAGCGGGAGCAAAACGGAGACAGAGAAAGAGGAAATTCAAACCTAATCAATTTCCCTCTGGGATTAATAAAGTATTTTTGAATTGAATTGAATTTTATTCAGTATTATTTTAGTCAACTTTATAGATTTTCTGCAAAAATCCTTTGCATGTTTCAAGAATGATTGTATGGAATTTTGAATCTCAACCTCTTCTGAATCTGTTGGATGTTACTGAGATTTCTCACATGCTGGTTTGTTTTGTTGCTTTGCAGCTTTTAGAGGAAACCGAGCGTCCATTTCTCTGGTTTTACCGACTGTAACAGCTGTTGATGCAGATGTTCTGGATGAAAAGTTCTGATTGGAGGTTCCACCCTAATATTTCTCTCAGCTCAACTGTAAGATTTTGAAGCTAAATTATAAAAACATTCATGCTTCTCCTTAAAGAGTAAGTCACCCCCTACCAGAGTATTACTCAACTCCCACTTCCTGTTCGAAAAATGCAACAAATGCTGTTGCCTGGCAGACTGAGAGGGCGGACCCACTAACAAATACACACACACAGGCTCACAACTACATTGTGACATCATATGGTACCAGCTATCATTCTAGGGTACCTCTTAGCCAATAACGATGGCAGATCTAAATTCAAATGTAGCGCAGAGTTTTTACCTGACAATGGCACAACACTGACAGTTTTAGGCAGAAAATTAAGATTTTAACTAAAATGCACTAAAGTGGTAAACTATTGACGACACGTGTCTGCAGCACGACTAGACACGCGTTTATATGGTTTATCAGAAAAAAAAGTTGATTTAGGGGTGACTTGCTCTTTAAGTTGGGCTGTGTTTCAGTCTTAAAAGACCAAATACAAGTTTTTGTTCCTACATTTTAATGTTCAGGTTTGCCGACATCTTAACAACAAAAATGATGGTTTTAAATTGTGAAGAAGACTAATTTAGTTCTGTTTATTCTCGTGGAAAACCCCACAAAGAGCTGTTTGTTTTTAAAAATGACTTAATTATGCAACCACAACACGAAGGCCCACAGCTGATTGGGGAGATAAAAGTGAACACGAGTTAGGAGGAAGAGGTGATGAAAGAAGAAGCGTTTCAAACACAAGCTTCTGTCCGTCTCTGGTCACTTCCTCTGTTCTCTGCTTCCTGGGTACAGCGAGGTGCTCTGCAGGCCAGGGAAAGCCTCGGGCTCTTCATGAAATATTCATCCTCGCCGTGAGGGGACAAGAGGAAAGTTGCATGGAAAATTAAAAGGACCAAACAAGTAGAAGCTGGGACACAGCCAGAATGACAAATATAGTTACTAAACAAAACTTTCCCACTGGCTGAAGCGATGAAGCTGTTGTAGATCCTAAGGAATTCAGTTTCGTGTCAAACTTTTCCCTCCCAGCTGCGTTCATCCATGAGATCTAGCCGTGAGACTCAGATTGGGATAAAAAAATAAGTTTTATTCGCTACCCGGCAGAAATGTGGCCCCGTGTTTGCTTCGTTTCCAGTTTGTGAGTCTTGAGTATCATGAAAGTTGTTGAAGCTCAAACTTTACATCCAAAACGTGAGGAGGGGGTCGGCCCAGACGATGAGCAGCGGAATTATAGACGAATGACTTATTTGTGATTTTTATAAATATGAACAGTTTCATGTGAAGTTGCTGAAGCAACAACTGAGTCTGAAACTGAATGAAAACACAGCGGATGTGTCGAGACATAAGTGAGAATTATTGCATAATTTCAGATTTTGAACGTGAAAATTTACTTCTTCCTTAGTGGCAGAAAGAAAATGGATGGCTTTGTCACAGGGAAATTTAGTATTCATGGCCCCGCCCACATCACGCATAGAAGAAGAGGTCAGAGCCCATCTCAGCTAGTATAAGCTAACCATTAGCAATTCCAAACGGAACAAACTGGGGCTTGTGTTAAACATCAAGTTTGCATTTTTAGCAAAAGAGGAGCGAACGAAGAGTTGCGTTGCTGTTAGCCAATCAGAGGCAAGAAGTTTGCATATGATGCATATTAAGACTCATAATCCTGTTGCTTTCCCTTTTCCAAGTTTATTTCCTCCTAGGAAACCACCAGGAAGAGCTGGAGAGAGGTGGATACCTGAAGGCTCAGGTGTCATCTGTAGTTGGACATGTGGGCGTTTGACACACTTTCAGGGTTCCCACTCTTTTCTTGAAATTATTTTCCAGGACTTTTCCAGGACATTTTCAAGACTGTTTTCAGTGTACAAGTCAAGTTATCATAACTACGGTTTGCCGATATCCCGATATATTTAGAAACAGATATGATATTGTACCTACCTATACCGTTATTTTGACAATATAGTTGTGGAAAGATTTTTGTCTTTCACAATCCCACCTGCTTTCCTCTACTTGCAATGCAACACAACTAAAACAGAAGTTATTCTCTACTTTAGTTCATACCAGAGATGTGACATTGTGGCATCATCAAGTCATCTCCATGTCATGTTTTTGATCTGCTCAGCAACTGAACCAGGTTAATTCACGGTGCTGATTGAAATCGTCGTCGTCGTCTTCCTCCGCTTATCCGGGTCCAGGTCGCGGGGGCAGCATCCCAACTAGGGAGCTCCAGACCTCCGTCCTCTCCCCGGCCACCTCCACCAGCTCCTCCGGCAGGACCCAGAGGCGTTCCCGGACCAGATAGGAGATGTAACCTCGCAAACGTGTCCTGGGTCGACCCGGGGGCCTCCTGCCGGCAGGACATGCCCGAAACTTCTCCCCAGGGGGGCGTCCAGGAGGCATCCTGACCAGATGCCCAAACCACCTCAACTGACTCCTTTCGATCCGGAGGAGCAGCAGTTCTACTCCGAGTCCCTCCCGAATGTCCGAGCTCCTCACCCGATCTCTAAGGCTGAGCCCGGCCACCCTACGGAGGAAACTCATTTCGGCCACTTGTATCCGTGATCTCGTTCTTTCGTTCATTACCCAAAGCTCATGACCATAGGTGAGGATTGGGACGTAGATCGACCGGTAAATCGAGAGCCTGGCTTTCTGGCTCAGCTCCCTCTTCACCACGACAGATCGGCTCAACGTCCACATCACTGCGGACGCCAAACCAATCCGCCTGTTGATCTCCCGATCCCTCCTACCCTCACGCGTGAACAAGACCCTGAGATACCTAAACTCCTCCACTTGAGGTAGGACCTCTCCCGACCTGGAGTTGGCAAGCCACCCTTTTCCAGTCGAGAACCATGGTCTCAGATTTGGAGGTGCTGATCCTCATCCCAGCCGCTTCACACTCGGCCGCGAACCTACCCAGCAAGAGCTGAAGGTCAGAGCTGGATGAAGCTAGGATGACCACATCATCCGCAAAAAGCAAAGACAAGATTCTCCTGCCACCAAACTCGACACACTCCACACCACGGCTGCGCCTAGAAATTCTGTCCATAAAGGTAATGAACAGAACCGGTGACAAAGGGCAGCCCTGGCGGAGTCCAACCCTCACCGGGTACAGGTCCAACTTACTTCCAGCTATGTGAACCTAACTCACGCTCCTCTGGTAAAGGGACTGAATGGTCCTTAACAGAAAGCCACCCACCCCATACTCCTGGAGCGTCCCCCACAGAGTGCCCCTGGGGACACGGTCATAAGCCTTCTCCAAATCCAAAACACATGTGGATTGGTTGGGCAAACTCCCATGTCCCCTCCATCACCCTTGCAAGGGTATAGAGCTGGTCCACAGTTCCACGGCCAGGACGAAAACCACATTGGTCCTCCTCGATCTGAGATTCAACTATCGATCGGACCCTCCTCTCCAGTACCTTGAAGTAGACTTTTCCAGGGAGGCTGAGGAGTGTGATCCCCCTATAGTTGGAACACACCCTCAGGTAGGGCTGCTCGATTATGGCAAAAATAATAATCACGATTATGGTGACTGAAATTGAGATCACGATTATTTAGGACGATTTTTCAATTTATGTTGATTTTATTTGTTTTTATTCAGTCATAAAATTGCTCAGGGCACAATCAGGACAAAAATAAGAAACAAGATGATCACTAAAAGAACTCCTGATTCCCAGGATAAAAAGACCAATATACTTATAGCTCATAGTCTATGACCCAAGGGCTATAGACCTTGAGTCTAACCAGTACAGACCCAAATACCAATATCTTGCAAATACTGACAGCAAGAATTATACAGTGGCATTTATAACAAATAAATGCAAATACATTGATGTTCACAAAATGTTACATAACATTTATTGAGTCGTGTCAAGGTGCTGTAGCACCGTGTCCTCAGAGAGATTAGTTATCAGCGTGAGGAACTTATTT